CCCCCGTTAAATTTATAATACATTTTTCTCTTTCCTCTTTTTAACTGTACATTTTCCAATAAAATAATATTACACATAAATCAAAAAAAATTCCTTCTTTTTCAATAACATATTCTAAAAAATATATATTATTTAAAAAATTATAACATCAAATAATGGAGGTCAAACGGGGCTAAATAAGTCCCCGTTTGGTACACATTCTTTCAAAATACATTATTTTAAAACTTATTTTCAACCACACATTTTCAATAAAATAATATTTTTTATCACATCAATAACTTTACATAACTTTTTAACCACATATTTCCAATTATATCACTATTTAAAGTACGTTTTTTCCTTAATAATATTCATCAAACACACGTGTGAATGTTAATTAATTGAGAATTGATAATAAGGATATTGACGTAAATGTAAATGTGAAATTTTATTTAATATTAATTAAATGAATGTTAATTAATTGAGAATTAATTATAGTGTTTATTATAGTTTGTAAATTAAATACACATTGAAAAATGAAAAATATATTATTGAAATAATTGAATTGTAGTAGGGTTATAATTGTCTAAAAAAATCAAAAAATGATTATCACGTGATGTGATATTTAATATATTATAGATATAGTTTATTCTTTCTTATTTTCAATCATATATTTTTCAATAAAATAATATTATACGTAAATTTAAAACGTTGCATTATTTGTTAATTACGCGTTCTCCAAAAAATATTACTTCAAAACACAGTTTCTTTGAAAATCTATTTTTAATAGAGTCCAAACATGAGTTATGTGTCCATTATAGAGTAATTAGGGGGTGTTTGATACACATTATTGAGAAAAGAATGCATTTTATTTAATATTAATTAAATGAATGTGAATATTAATTAATCAAGACTTAATTATAGTATTTATTATAGTTTGTAAATTAAATACACATTGGAAAATGAAAAGTATATTATTAAAATAATTGAATTGTAGTAGGGTTATAATCATCTAAAAAATGATTCTTACGTGATGTGATATTTAATATATTATAGATATAGTTTTTTCTTTCTTATTTTCAATCATATGTTTTTCAATAAAATAATATTATATGTAAATTTAAAACGTTATCTTATTTTTTAACTACGCGTTTTCCAAAAAATACTACTTCAAAACACATTTTCCTTGAAAATCTATTTTTAATAGAGTCCAAACAAGAGTTATGTGTCTATTATAGAGTAATTGGGGGTGTTTGATACACATTATTGAGAAAGAGAATGTGTTTTATGATGTGATGTGATGAAAAATATGTAGTTAAAAAAAAAATAAAAAATTTTGGATTTACGTGTAATATTAATTTATTGAAAAATGTGTTGTTGAAAATGAGTTTTGAAATAATGAATTTTTCAAGAATGTGGATCAAACATGGGCTATGCCTTGACGGTGAATTGTTTATCACAAAATAAATGGGTGGTAAAGAATGACGAGTCTTTTAAGTGTGTGGATAAAATGCGATTTGATTGAAAGTGTTTTTTAGTTAATGTAAGTATGGATATTTAAAAATAATGATATCTAGCACTGCACTGCAAGAAGTCGTACACATACTAACCAGTACTGTTTTTTCCCTTGTGGCAAATATCTTCCAAGATCTCACCTTTGGAACTCACGATGTAAATTACTTTTGTTACCCTCAAATTTCACCTAGTTTGTTCTTGTATGATACGAACAATCTGGGCACCTTTTTTTTTTTTTCCAATTTCCCTTATGTAAATATGAATAATGCATTAGGAATATTATGTTGGAGTTAGCCGTTAGCACTAAATCCTTTTTGAATTCTACAAAAATTGTTTTAAAAAATGGGCAATCCATTGGAGGGAAATCGAACAAAAATAGACTGGAACAAGAAAATCAAGGAAATCGAGAATTCTAGATATATGTTTATGAGGAGAAAGAATGATACAGACAGGAGAAGAAGGGGAAAGAACCGATTTAATAGATACCTACGACGTCGTAAGAATTTCAGACGTCATCGTTTTCATATCCTCTACTAGGAATTTCATACAACGTCATTTCGTTTTATAAACAGCACGGGAAAAAATGACATGTAAGTCAAAACGGTATAATGGAATTGGATACTATTGCAACTATAGTACCCAGAAACTACCTGTTTTATGTAGTGGGGATATATTATTCGTTTTTTTTTTTTTTGGAAGGCACGGATAATTATTATTATGTGCAGGCAAGTTCTTTAAAACGAACGTAGGAAAATTACAACTTACTACATCTTATTTATAACTCGCTTGAGACCAAATTTTTCCATCACTGCAATATCACTATAGAGAGATTATTGTATTAAAAACACACTTGCCATTATCGACAAAAAAAAACATTAAAATTTAAAATGTTGTTTTTAACATTCCCTTGACGATTCATTGCAACAACTTTTATGAGGTTAAAAATCCAAATGGCCAGTGATATTTACATAATATTTTTCATGGATCATTAAACTTTAAAAGTTTTCCGAACGTCCATCGAACTTATCAAATAATTATTCTATTGGCCATCGATCCTTCAAAAGTTTTCGGATGACCATCGGACTTATCAAATTGTTATCCCATTGAGTCATTGATTATTAAACTTTTAAACTTTTTGGATGATCACCGAATTTTCAATCATTGTTCTATCGGTCATTCAATAACTTACTTTTTAGAATATTCAATAGACTCGTTGACGTGGCAAATATAAATGTTGACATGGAGCATTATTGTCGTTAGTTGAAATCGGTCAAAAATGTGCTTTCGTCCACTAAAAGCGTTCATAAAAAATGTGATTGAGCTTTGCTTGTTTTCTTTTGTTTATAAATAACCTTTGCATGTTTTCTTTTGTTTATCTGTATTTTCATTTAGACCCTGTTTGAGCTTCATTTCTAAGAAACTCATTGTTTCTCAAATTCATTCTTAACCACACATTCTCCCAATAAAATAATTTTAAACGAAAAATTAAAAAAATCATGCTTTTCAATCACACATTTTTCAAATAATCGTTTTTACAAAATTTATTCTCCCAGGAATGAAGCTCAAGCAAACTCTTAGATTATCTTTATTGCATTTTCCTGTTAATCATATTTTTTACAAACGTATTTTTGACTAATTTGTAGTCAACTTACGATAATAATATGCAATGTCAAAGTTCCCATTCGTCATATTAGTAAGTTGGTCGAATTTTTTAATAGTGAGTTATTGAGTGATGAATGGAAAAACTATTTGATAAGTTTGATGAATATTCGAAAAGCTTTAAAGTTAAACGGCATATGAGACTACAATTTGACAAGTTCGACGAATACATGAAAAACTTTTAAAATTTGATGGTCGATGAGACAATGATTTGACAAGTTCGGTGACCAATTGAAAAACTTTTAAAGTTTAATGGTCAATAGAAAACACTGTGTAAAGTTGAATAAGCAATAACCATTTGGATTTTTAACCCACTTTTATGTTAGTATTTCCTCAAAACTCCGTAATCCGCCAACAAAGCCCCATATGTTGGTCTCACCACATTCTTTGCACGAGAGGCAATGTCACGATGCCTCTATGAGGCACAACAATGTATATGTTGGTTAATCAAGTTCTCACGATGGATGCTGAAATTGAACACAAACGAGGCGTTGGACACAATATTAGAAAACATGAAAAAGAGGTGGTGGACACGACATTAGAAAAGTATATTTTTAGAATACTATTTAATAATAAGAGCATGTTTGAATCCATTCAAATTAATTTTAAGCTAATCCTTTGTAGATTAGCTTCGTGTTGCTAAAATCTATTTTCGTTTGGTAGCTTTTAAGGTACTTTTGTGGAGAAGTCCAAATTTTCCTAGACAGCTTTTTTGGGCTTTTGAAAAGAAATAAGGGAAAATTTCATAACTAAGAAATTTAATTTATCAATTTCAAATTTAAGAATCTAAGTTTAAAATTTCAAATTTAAGATTTGTTAAGGTTTAAAATTTCAAATCTCAGATTTTTTTTATAAATAAATTAATTAAACATATATTTTATTTATTAAATATATTAATGTCACGATTTCATATAATTTGATCACAAATTCCATATAATTGATCACAAATAATAAATTTTATATTACAAATTATTTTATGGTCACAATTCAAAAATTTTATAAGTCACAATTTGTTCATCGGTCACAAAAAATTGAAACGTCTCAAATTATTTTACCGTCACAAATCAAAAATTTATAGGTCATAAATTATTTTACGGTCACAATTTATTCATTGGTTACAAATAAAAAATTGAAACGTCACAAATTATTTTACAGTCACAAATCAGAAATTTTATAAGTCACAAATTATTTCGAGATCACAAATTTAAAATTTTATACGTCATAATTTAATTCATTGGTCACGGATCAAAAAATTATAGATCNATACGTCATAATTTAATTCATTGGTCACTGATCAAAAAATTATAGATCACAGTTTATCGATATGTCACACATTTTCAATTTCAATTTTCTTGGTCACAAATTATCGAAATTTAGGGTCACGGATTAATAATGAGTCAAAATGAACCAAAATGTCGGTTAAATACACCAAATACCCCACCTCATCCCGATTCTCCACTAATATTTGATCACAAATACTATTCCACCTCCGCCCTTGCCACAACACCACCCAAACCACCATCATCGCCCCCGTCACAACACCACCACAACCGCCGCCACAATAAAAACAAAAAACAACCACATCCATCGCCGCCTGCACCACAACACCAAAAAAACCACCACCATCGCCGTCTACCCCGCCACAACACTACCACGATGTCGATCACTGACACGATAATAACAAAAAACGACGACCACCACACGGGCCACCATTATCTCATAGACCACCATCACCACCACACGGACCGCCAACACAGATCCACTACCACCGCCCATCACCACCGCATACCACCACCAGTATTATCTCCATTCACACCACACTCACAACTAAACATGAGAAGGGGAGAATGGTTAAGAGACGAGAGGAAGAGTGGCAGCGTTACTATGCGGCTTGGCCCCTGAAGCGACCTGTGATGGCGAAGGTGGTGTCCGACTACTTTGTGCGGCTTCACTCCCACAACTTTGCATGGATACACAGCCTACACTATGGCGTCCTCAGGTCGCTTTACGGCCAAGAGAGGGTGAGATGAAAGGCTTCGAGACGGAGAGAGGGTGAGATGTGATAATAGATAGAGAGCATTGATGGTGGTGCCGACGAGGTGGTGCCAGTGGTGGTAGCATCGGCGGGGTGGCGGTGACGAGGATAGAGAGAGATGGGAGAGAAAATGGGGCGACGGGGAGAGATAGAGGGTGGAGAGAAAATGAAATAATTTGGGTTTGAAATTGTGTAAGATTGATTTAACAAAACTTTCGAGATTTGAAATAGTAAAACTAGATCTCTGATTTATGAAATGAGATCGCTAAATGTATGGGTTCTTGTAATTTCCTCAAGAAAGAAACTTTTAAATGGCTCAAGATGATGATTATTTTGAAAAAAATGGAATTTTAAATAGTGATTTTTGAAGAATATGTGATGAAAAATAGATTTTTTTTTTAAATTTATGTCTAAAATATTTTCTTAAGTAAACGTGCAGTTGAAATTAGGGCTGCACAAAAAAATCGTGAAACCGCAAATTGAACCAAAATCGTTAGTTTGAAACCGTTGGTTTGGGTCCAAGTGGACCCGCAATTTTTTTTTTCATTCAAATCGAACCAAACCGTTTCAAAATGGTTTGGTTTAGATTTCAATTTTCAAAAACCACATAAAATCGAATCGAACCGTTTTTTAATCTTTTAATTAAAAAAATATTTTTATTAACTTACAAATTTTAAAGTTTTTTCTTTTTAGAAAAAAAATAACAATTTAGCAATACAGATTACAACCAACCCATTAAAATAATCATTGTGTAAGATTGATTTAACAAAACTTCCGAGATTTGAAATAGTAAAACTAGATCTCTGATTTATGAAATGAGATCGGGTTCCTGTAATTTCCTCAAGAAAGAAACTTTTAAATGGCACAAGATGATGATTATTTTGAAAAAAATGGAATTTTAAATAGTGGTTTTTGAAGAATATGTGATGAAAAATAGATTTTTTTTTTAAATTTATGTCTAAAATATTTTCTTAAGTAAACGTGCAGTTGAAATTAAGGCTGCACAAAAAAATCGTGAAACCGCAAATTGAACCAAAACCGTTAGTTTGAAACCGTTGGTTCGGGTCCACGTGGACCTGCAATTTTTTTTTTCATTCAAATCGAACCAAATCGTTTCAAAATGGTTTGGTTTAGATTTCAATTTTCAAAAACCGCATAAAATCGAATCGAACCGTTTTTTAATCCTTTAATTAAAAAAATATTTTTATTAACTTACAAATTTTAAAGTTTTTTCTTTTTAGAAAAAAAATAACAATTTAGCAATACAGATTACAACCAACCCATTAAAATAATCATATAAAGTAAACTGAGTTCATCATTATTGGTCGATAGTTTTATAAGTCCATAACACAAGTCGTGACCCGATATCTAATCTAAACTAAAAATAATCTCAAATTATATGAAAAAAAATCATTTATTTTCAACAATCCAAATCATAATACAAAAAAACTACGACAGCAAATCACGTCCACGACTTTAGAAGTTACCTAAATTCTCATTTCTCTAACATTTGACGCTTGCTTGCCACTGTTGAACAAAATGCGATTCTCAATTGCAAAATTGTTAGTCGCCTTTTGCTTATTAGTCTGTTAATTTCTACCCGAACCACCATTTCTCTCTTCTCTTTTGATAAGTCTTAGATTCTCATTTAAGTCATTTTTTCATTTTTTTCTTTTATTTGTTGTTTTTTAAAACTTATTATACACTTGTAAGTTGTGATTTAAATTTTAAAAAAATGATTATTTGCGTGTCTAGGTGATTAATGAACTTGTTTGTTGTTTAGAAAGAACGAATGATAGAACGTATTGATTGTGTGAAAATGTTAAAGTTCCCTAACTAGTACTATTACATTCTACTTTCATAAAGTCGTTAGAGAATAAAACTTATCAATTTTCAATAAATCTAAATTCTATCATTCTTTGTACATTTAAATATATCATATTTAGTCATTGTTTTTCATCTTACTAGTAGGACGAAATGAGTTTTAACCAAACTATTATAACAAAATGTAAGTTCATCTTTACCGACCACTATATGACAATATGAAAGACAAACAAGAAAAGGTAAAAAAGAAAGAAAGATATATTCGTTTTATTAATATTTTTTAACAACCAATTTTGAAAATAATGGCAAATAAAGAGGAAGAAATATATATTCGTTCTATTAACGGCTTTTAACAACCAATTTTGAAAATAATTTATTCACTGGTTTAGTGGGAAAGATGAATATAATATAATATTTAACATTATTAATTCTCGTTTAAACTTATACCTTAACTTATTTTAAATATACTATTATAATATCGATGGGTAAATCGCGGATTAAAACCGAACCGATCCACACATTATTGTTTGGTTTGAAAAAATTTCAAATCGCATAAAATTGTTTGAGTTGAAAATATGGCAAAAATCGCCCAAATCGACTACCCCGTTGAAATGAGTGACTAACTGGGATATATCTGTAAAGGGCACATTTGTATTTTCGCCCCACTGCCCCTGCACACAGCACACATCACTCTGCGGTTTCACATCTCTCCCTCGCCGTCCCCAGTTCAGCGACCACGATGTATCAAGCCGGCTATCATCAGAATACTGCCCCCCCAGATATGGCTCAACTCCAAGCCACGATGCGATCTATCGAACTCGCCTGCAGTTCTATTCAGGTTCATTACACTTTTGAATTGCTTACATCTGTAAACGCCTTTACTGCTCGGTTGGCAGCATCAGCGGACAAATTACTATGTATAGTTTGCTTCATATTTCAGGGTTTACAAATCATTAGTAGATTTTCCGCTTATCGAAGTGTAAAACTGACATATCGAGACAAATGATGGACTTATGTAATGTGTGGGTGAAATGAAATGAAAGATGTTTGATTTTGTCGTATTGGTGATAAAAACAGATTAATCATTTATGTATTTGACGAACTGAAAATGTCAATTTGCTGCGCTAGGAACCGGAATTCATGGTGGCAACTGAAACTAGATAGGCTATGTATTGTATCTTTAAAATCTTGCATATACTGTTGTGCATGTAAATCTAGTTTCAAAAACAATAATTCCACTCTCAACATCATAATTTCGGCTTCTTTGCTGTTTTTTCATATTTTGTTGAAGTTGTGCAATGTGCTCAGTTGTACTGTCTTATTAATTATGGATTCTCATCCTCTCCATTTGCTCTAAACTTTTTATGATGCATCCTCCAAGATGATTATATATAAAAATTATCTAAATTTTGTCAACTTTCTGTTCACTAATAGATCCAGTATACAAAAACTCTACTAATGAATCAGGTTGTGAACTGTTAGTGATACACATAATCAAAACTTTAAGAAATATTAGAGCATGAAGTCAAATGGTGAACTCTATTAGCTCCGAAACTTTTATCAAAAACCAAACTGCAAGAAATCATATATCATTTGATCTAAACGGTGAAATTTATTAAAGCTGTGTACTGGGCCATCCCTAGATTGCAAATGGTTTTGATATTTGTATCATTGTCACAACTTTCCTTCATCATCAATAAATGGATGACCGATTTTAGAAATGCAGCTAGAGAGGGTCATAATCTATATTATTTTGTATTTGAGCTGTAAGTTTTGAAGTTCTTCAGTCTTGAGTATGTTTCATTTTTTTGGATGCATATATGGACGCAATGTTCTGCACTGAAACACATATACAGATGCATGCAAACCCGGCTGCTGCTGAGGCAACCATATTATCACTAAACCAGTCTCCTCAGCCATACCAGGCATGTCAATTCATTCTAGGTAATGCTTTATGAAATTATGCATTTGATGTTTGCTATTTCCATGATTGATGGAGGAATATTTTAATAAGTGTGGCTGGAGATGGCAATGTGAAGTAGAGGACAACATTAGAATTATTATTAGCTTCTAGATTCTGCCGTAGTTACTTGTTCTGAGTCTGCTGTTACCTGTTTGCTAGTTTAATTGTCTAATCAAATAAGTTACTTATTTTTAAGCTTCTGCTCTATGATTGAGAAAGAAGGAGGAATAAAGAGGAGAAAGGGAAGAAGAGGGAGAGAATAGAGAGAATTTGGAGGGAGAATATCAATTTTTATTTATATCAAGTGTTTTTATTACAATGCAAAAGACCACTTTATTTAGGGTTTCAAAGATCCTATTCCAAGTAGGGAATCTTTAATAAAGTCTACTAAATCAAAAAACTAATTATGTTTCTTAAAATAAACATCAAAATTGGAAGCTAAATATAATAATATCTCTTCTAATATTCCATTAATGAGACCATGGGATTCAAACACGAGCTTGGCGAAAAGATTCAAGGTTCAATAAACTCTTCTTTTTAACAATACATTTGAGATATCAATATGAAGCACTGGCTCTCGATTTGGCATGCTTCTTCAGAGGAGCCGTTTTGATCCACCTATCCCTGCTTTTGGTTATTTTGATATTCTGAGTATCCATCATTTTAATTTAAGTCGTGATTTTATGAGACTCCAAGTTCAGGGACTTGAATATGGAACAATATACAGGAAGACTCAACCTCCATGTTTAAATGCCGGTTCCAGAAGTTTTGAAACTTCTGGTCAAAGATTAACTTAATGGTAAACTCAAGTATTACTTTCCAAAAGTTAATCACGGAGAGAAGAGAAATTCTCTCTCCCTCACTTTCACGCACGTACACGTACATACACACGGATACGAGCATAAATAAAAGTGTTCACGAGTAGCTCGCGATATGGTCCTAGTGATGGATATTTGGCTGACTAGGACACATGGTGGTGTTCTCAGAACCTTTTATTTGGAGATACTTGAGAGAGTATCACTCTGCCGCAACAAATTGTAGTGGATAACCCATCTCTAAAGGTTGAAACCAGTCATTCAGTGAACATTATATTGCTGAAAAGAAACATTGCATTGTCTCATTAATAAGATAGAACTCTGCTGATAGATTTTTGCCTGGAAGTGGCAGAGAACTCTCATTCAATGTATTCTGTCTAGCATTGCAATATTGTATATTTTAAGAATCAGAGAAAGGTGGCTGTTTCTAAGAAAAGCTAAAGAGGGAATTTCTGTGAGAAGCTAAAAAAAAATCCAGTAGTTTGAGATTAGTAAGAGTAGAGTCTAGGTCTGGGTCTGGGTAACCTAAAAATAAAATTTTTAGCTTCAACTAGAAAGTGGCTCTAGTCGATTTCCTTTACAACAGTTCTATTTGCGGGGAGGGTTGCAAAGAGAAAATATTGATTGAACCCAAATGGTTGAGATTCTAAAAAATGAACCCGAGGGCGAGAAAGAAAATCTAATTTTAGTAAGATGAATGGATCAATCGTGCTTCTTTCGCCTTCCTAGATTGTATAATGCCTTAATACTGAAAAAAGCTCCCCTCAATTCTGCTTGTTTGACTTTTGATTATACTTCCATTTTTCGTAATCTTCAATTTCATCCTGATCCAAGGGGCAAGGATTTTCAGTTTGTCCTCGTTGTTAGCCATCAGAAAATGCTTCTTTTGTTGATTTTAGAAGACGTCAATTTGAACTATGTAGCATTTCTGTTCTTAAGCCCATTATTTTTTGGTTTCATTCTGATGTTTCCTAGTAAGGCCGTGTCATATTGTAGCTCATCAATGTGCTGTATCAGAATTGGAAATATAGTTATAAATTTGCTGATACCGACTTCAAAGAATTCAGCATGCAGCATTTGCTTGTTTTGCATGTCATCATTGTAAATTAATCTTGTTTTTTACATGGTATACTTGACTCTATTAGATGATTGGAGATAGAGGCTTACAAGTGTATAAATTGGATTTCTTAATTAGATATACGATTGTCGCTATATGATATCTTCCCCTCTGTTCACATGCTAGCACACAATATATAGATATCAACATGCATATAGTGCATCAGTTTCTCACATACTTTGATCTTCTGTACTTTAGTCATTCAGAAATACTAATCCGAGCCTGTCTTTGGTGGATTTTGTGTATTATATATTATAATTTCTTACTACTTCGCAAAAATGAAGTGCAATTCTTTTCTCACTATAATTGCTTTGAGCGTCCAGAAAATTCTGAGTTGGCAAATGCAAGATTTCTTGCTGCTGGAGCAATTAGGGATGCGGCTATAAGAGAATGGTCATTTCTCGAGACCGATTACAAGAAAAGCTTGATCCGGTACATTAACCACTCGTTTTGTTGAGTCACATCGAGGTTTCTTTTTCTTTTTCCTTGTGAATAGTCTTGTTTGGACTTTAAATTCTTGATATCTCGTTTGACAAGAAACAAAATTTCATTTAGCACATAATGAAATTAGATAAAAGAGAACAAGGAGTGCTGTACAAAATGATAAACAAGTACGGAAATAAATTCAAGAAACACGATGCTAAGTTCTCAATATTACACTGGAAGAATATTAAACTGCACGATAAAATATTAATCAGAATGTCAAGAAGTAAACTAAGCCTTATACCACAAATTTGGGGATGATAAAATATTACTGCCATTAGTAATTTAAATAATGCCCTGAAATAAGAAAGAAGAATAAATATATTGTTCTGCTAACGTTCTCCATCTTATTCGTTGAGTATTGCTTGTCTCTTGCAACTCCTAATTAATAAATGTCTTCAGAAAACATAATTTATAGTTTGCCTTCTGCAATAGCAAATGTAGCAATAAGCAAGGATGGAGGTTTTACGGAATCTCCTATTTTTTGGTAGTTGTACAGATTATTGCTTAAATAAAAAATGGAGGTTTTACGGAATCTGCTATTTTTGGGTAGTTGTGTAGTTTATTTCTTAAATAAAAAATGAAGACTATCTAACTTTTTAATTAATTATACCACTGCGTGCAGCAGTAATTATTGTCTTTATCTACAAACATTAAATATTTGTTTCAGGTTTTGTTGGCTTTTTATAATGAAACACGCTGGTTCACATGAGGGTTACGTCCAAGCAAAAGTTGCATCTGTAGCTGCTCAATTGCTGAAACGGGGCTGGTAAGTTGCTCATCTTTTGAAATTCCAACTGTGCGATAAAAAATTGGGTGAATAAGAAATTTATGAGGGCAGGAACACGTCGGAAATGATTTTTCTAAAAACTGAATTTTATTGCAAAATAATCTGTAACAAAAGTGAAAAACTGTGGAAAACATTATTAAGCCCCTGTTTGGTGAGAATTAAAATTAGATTTTTAGTAGATTTTGATAAAAGTTTTTGAAATGTGTGATTAAAAAGTCGTGGGATCATAAAATATGTGGTTAATATTGATTGTTTAACTTAGATTAAAATATGATTTAAATCAATAATAAACAGGGGCTAAAATTTAGTTTTAGAATTTTACAGTTTTTGTCAGTTTGTTGACTTGATGTCTGATTTGTGCTAATTTGCACAAGGGGGTGTGGTTTCTTAATAGGTTGTCTGTTTTTGCCTTTGTATACCACTGATCATTGCAATGTAAGAATAAATGGTACTTTCATTTCATTACCAGCCAGGCATTTTAAAATCTTCGGAATGTTGGGAATTTCTTAACAACTCTCTTGTGACATGTTGGAGACTTTAAAATCTATGCTACTAAAAAAATCTCAAAATTGATATTTTTAATCCAGTGAGATAAATGAATCTGGGTCCTTTTGTAATGCCCAAATTTTCATAAACTTTAGAGTGTTACCAAAAACTCACTTTTCTTTACGTTAAATACGGAATAATAAAAATTGTTTCTTTAAAATAAAACAACTGGAATATCCATAAATTTAAACTAAGCTCTTGTTTGAGCTCCATAATTTGAAAAAAAATATAATATCTTGGGTCTAACTTATTTGAGTCAACTTCTTTCATGAGTTGAAGACTTCTAATTAAATATAAGCAACAAAAAGAGTCCAATATTGATATACTAAAATCGCTCTATCAAAATTTAATTATTTGACCCAAAAAATATAAAAATTTAAAACGTATTTCAATATAGTCCTTTAACTTCCAAAGTTATATTAAAAAGCATCTACAAGAAGTCAATTTAGCCCCTATATATATATATTTTTTTAAAACTCATTTTCCCCAAATCCCCAAACCCATTTTTAACAACACATTCTCCTAATAAAATAATTTTGTGCGTAGACCAAAATTTTTTTCTACTTTTTAATCCCATGTTTTCTCAAAAAAAAAATAAAAATAAATAAAAAATCTCTTTTTAACAAAAAAAAGTGGGCTCAAACAAGGGCATAGTTTGCAATTACTATTGCACGTTTTCTTTTGGTGTGAAAGAGCATCGAAACCACCAATGGTACATTTAGACATTATTTGGATCAATAGATTTCTCTCAGATGTTGAGACTCATCAAATGTAACGCATTAGACATGAGTTTCTTTTCGGGAAAATGGAGATCACCAAAAGAACTTCCCAATTTGAGATAGAGATGCTCTCTACAATCACATCAATTTTTTAGGGATAGATGCATTGGCAGATTTTTTAATGGTGTATTGACTATTTAATCTTCTTTTTAGCCATTGCTAGAAAGGATCTTCTGATTAGTTTCATTTCTATTTTCTTTGTACAGGCTAGATTTTACAGCTGCTGATAAGGAGGCAATTTTCCTTGAGGTATCGATAGTCCTAAATGTCTTAGAGATCTTCCTAACTTTTAGTACTTACAAACTTGTTATGTGTTCTAGATCTGGGTATCTGCTCCTTTGTCAGTGCTGTTTTGGTATGGCCATCTAGTTTCAAGTGTCCAAATTCCTACATCTGGAAAAGGAGATAAGAGGAAAAAATTAAATAAATCAAGTGAAAGCATTTCCTGATCATTGAGATTGTTCCAAGAGATTGACCATTCATGATTCATCAAAGGTGACGGAAGCTGAAGATAGAAACATTATGAAGTGAGGAGAGATGTACAAGGAAATATGATTGAAAAAAGATCTAATCCTTTTGAAGAGTCCTCCAAGAAATGGGTATATATCAGTACCTACCTTTAGATGAATAAATGGAAGGAAAATATGTTGTAGTTTTGTAATATTTTCCTCGGGACTAGCATAAGTGACATAGAAGTAATCCCATCCCAGGTCCCACGCATTTGACTATCATCCATAATTACTCTTGATTACCTGGTGCTAAAGAGAATTTAGATTGCAAAGGACAACATCACCCACTGCTAATTTAATTATCTGCCGTATTAGAAATCTAAGAGGCCAGAAATACTAATTGGATTCTTCTAGTTCTGCTGCTTCCCATGTGACTTCCAGCACGTAGCCTTGTCTTCCTTGGTTTCCATAGTTATCAGACCAAAGCTTGTCATTACCTATAGCTTTCTTTTCCCCTAAATTGGAGCTAAGTTTAGAGGTGGTTAATGCTGAATCTTTCTTTGTAGGACCTTGGTTTGCTTTCTATCAGTTCTTTGTGGCTTTCCTCTCCTTGGGTGTATATAGTTATCATCTAGGTTAAGGAACAGAACTCTTCCCACTTGTCCACATGCTTGATTGTACTTGGGCTTAGCCTATTAGGAATTGAAATACCCTATTCTTCTCCAACATATCCTCGAACTTCTTTTTAGGTGCCAGGGACTTTATCTCCAAATCTTGATGTGGATCTAGTTCCATAAATATACCTTAAGGGAAAAATGTGTTGCACTCAAGGAGCCTTGCTTGGTGTAACAACTTGCCTCTTGAAAATTTCAGATGCAAACATCCTTTCAATAGGTTTTGAGAGTGCCTCCCAAATTTCTTAGTTGTTGAAAGAAGAAAGTAAGTTTTACTAATCTCTGGCTGCATATAATGGAGCAACGAGGACATTACTGTGGAGTTTTAGCCTTGCAAATGTCACACTCGGGAGCTTCCACAGCAGGTAGCTTAGCAGACCATGAGATGCATTTGATTGTCCTTTACTCATTAGCGAAATTTTCTGACTGCGGCAGCCAATTCGTATAGTTCTGTTCAGTCATTTTGGATGTGGAATGGTAAGCTGGTTGTTGGTGGCTGCTAGCCTGCTACATGGAGTTACTAGTTATTTCAGATATTCAAGAAGTAAATGGAAATCTCTGTTTGAAGAGAGTGCAAAACAAAATCATTGGCAATGAATGCCAGAAAAAAAATACTAGCAGCAGCGAAGGCTGCAAGAAAGGGACCAGTTGCATTGTAGCAACGAAGGCTGCTAAGAGAAATACTTTCCTACACCTAAGAGGATCTGATACGATAATTTTTTTTTTCTTCAAAGAATAGGAATACATGCTTAGATACTGTACACAAGAATTTAACGAATCTCCTGAATAAGGAATCAAATTAAAAACTAATATTCTTGTGTCTAAATTCTACACTAGTTGTGCATCCTAAGGAAATAAATATAGTAAAAAGAAACTAGTGAATAAGTGAAGTCAAACGTGCTACAAAAATATACTATTAATATATTCTTTCTAGAAATCTGCTGCTAGCATGCTAAATTTGTTATTTTTATGAATCCATCTCTCTCATATACAGGTGAAACAGGCTGTTACTGGCAGCCAGATTGTCGATGTACAGTATATGGGAATCAATTTTTTGGAATCGTTGGTACTTCTCTCGCCACTTGATATCCTTGAAGGATTGTAGTCAAGTTGTTTTTGCTTTAACAATTCTTTCTTTAAGTTTGTTCTCATACGTAATACATATATAATCTTTTTCCAATTAGGTATCAGAATTTTCACCCTCTACATCTACTGCTATGGGCCTTCCTAGAGAATTTCATGAGCAGTGCCGAACATCATTAGAGCTGGACTATATAAAGGTTTTCCTTGCACACTCAGTCCTTTTTTCTAGCATTTGATGCAGCATATGACCTCAATAAAAATTTTCTCTTTCCATTTTCGAAAACTTCCACAAAAATCTTTCCCTTTTTAATACTTCACAGGAATTTTACTGTTGGGCACAAGATGCTGCTTTAAATGTCTCACATAGAATAATTGGATCTGACTCAGCCATTCCTGAAGCAAAAGTGTGTTCAGCAGCACTTCGTCTAATGCTTCAAATCCTGAATTGGGACTTTAAAGGAAAAAAAAATGCAGTTGAGAGTTCTAAAAGAGGGCTAGATGTGTATTGTGGTGACATTAAGCCAGAGAGCAACTTTCTTGGAAGGTCTGAATGCATCTTGGTGCAGGTATGTTGTAAGAGTTACTACCCTTTGCATCGAACCTCTTGTTGTTTAGAAAGATTTTTTTATGATAATGTTTGCAAGAATAGGCATGTCAACAGGCTAGCGTGGACCCTTGAGCAATCCTGTTATTGAGTTTGGAAAGGAGATGGTATACATGACTTGAGATTGATGCTTAATTTTTTATTTGTATACATTAAAACCATAATCTAACATCTATATCTTGCTTTACCGACCGACGATTCCTTGCCAACCTCTTTCTCGTTCTTTTCTCTCTACCCCCCCTCTCTCACACACACATGCGCTTATGGAGTTGAAGAGGGTGGCGACTAAGGTCAAGTGTACTATCTTTAGGGCTTCTTAGCAGGTGGATCCATGCATCAACGGTTGTGACGATATCTTTGCTCAGCCTCTTTATCTGCCACTTCACCCTCCCAATATCATTCTTTAAATAAAACCGTCAAAAGACCTCTGTAAATTTCAGATCTGAATAAAGAACATCATCCTTCCAAATCACCTAGGACCTAACTAAATGACATAAAAAGCCACCAGATCATAAATGAAGATCTTTGCAGAAACCTAACAGTGACAGTGAATGACATTTGTGGAACATTCTTTTTCTATGTTATTTTTTTTTTCCAATTCTTGATTTTTCTTTTGCTTCTCATTTTTAAAAATCAAATGAAAAAAGATATGATAATAAATGATATAATGCAAGATGACACGCATGTCCAATATTCTTATTCTGGTCATCCAATGCTTGTTAGGCTTAATGCTCACACTGGATCTAGCAGGTCTACCCATGGCTTACGAAAGTTTCAAGCCAGTCTTGGACTAGATATTAGGTTTTTCAATCCAGTTTTAACTAGACCTAGTATTTGATGGAAATTTTTGTAGCAAATATTTATTTTGTGAAAAAAATCAATAAGAAATCAAGCATTGAAATATCTTTTTTACTCATCGTGAATGTTGAACAGGTCATTCAATTTGGAATTTCTAAAATTTTAGAACATTTAATTGGTTGAATTTATTAGACATAATTTATAATTATAAACTAACCAAAAAATATTTATATAATATAATTGAAGCATTGAGATCCCATCTAGGTTTAAGCTGGCTCAATAAAGCTCTAACTTGGTCAAGCCTAGCATGATTTAAAGAAACTCGATTGAAGATGGCTTCAGAGCAAGGCGAACAAAAAAGTCTCAAAGACGCTGATAGTGAGGCAGTTTTTGGAGGCGTACGCCTTAGATGTGTGAGGTACACACCTCAAGGCTTGTGAGGCAGCTCGAGACTAAACATAAAAATTCTGTTTGATTCATTTTGGAACATCCGCCCACTAAAACATTAAAAATTGCATTTTTCAAAAAATTTCATTTAAGGTCCTGAATTTAGATTGCATAGTTTATGTTAATGTTGGATTTTAAGTGCAAAACAATAGAGAAATCAACACAAGTATTTAACGTGGTTCGACGATGTGTCTACGTCCACAAGGAGCAAAGCGGAGATTTTATTCAATATGAATAATATGGTTACATCATTAGTATTTATACTAACTCGAGCCCTAGCCCAAGCCCAAGCCCAAGCCCAAGCCCATACAAAACTTTAGAGCCCGTACAAGAAAATGCACCTTTAACGTACATCGGTCATTTTGATCCAATAAACTTGTGTTCCACTCTATTTGAGCGAGTATACAACTGTTAACATTTTTCATTGATCTATTAGCTCCTGTTGTACGATCATTAACACTGATTATGGTACTTGTTTCTACTGTTCTGCTGCTTATAGCCTGGTTCGTTGTGGCGTGATGTGCTGATTTCAAGTGGTCAGGTTGGATGGATTTTGAACTTGTATGGTGCACTGCGACAGAAGTTTTCATGTGAAGGTTACTGGCTAGACTGCCCTCTTGCAGTTTCTGCTCGGAAACTTATTGTCCAATTTTGCTCCATAACAGGAACCATATTTCCTTCTGGTATAATTTTTACCTTCTATTAACGGTTAATATTTTTTTCATCACATAGCTAAGATTGTTATTCACTTCTCTCTTTTAGTAAGGGTAATATCTTTTGATGGACTCGTGGGAACTATGCTTGTGCATTGACTCGTAACTTGTCATCTTTATGTCTATTTAGTTTTAGAATTATGACCATAATTTACCAGGTGTATACAAAAGTTAATATCATGAGTGCTTTCAATAGTGTAGACTAGTTTGATACTTGTCTATCATACACAGGCAAATGTAATTGTAGAAAGTGGCAAGACACACAATGTCTTTTCAAAACATTATTTATAGGTTTTTGTTGACATGGGTAAAAAGTTTCTTCCCTTCTCTAATAGATAAAGTTTAAGATAGTCACAATTGATATTGTGCACAACATAGATACTTGAAAAGGTCCTTAAATCAAGTCTTGTTATCGCCCGTCATGACAATTTTATCTTTTTGGTCAAGTACAATTATTTTCTTTAATAGCTTAGGCTTTTAAAGGAGATCAGTAATTTTTCACTTATGTACTCTTTCATTAGAAGCCTTTCTAATACCTATGGGATAAATTGAAGATACTGTTGATTGTATTCATTGTGCACAAGTCAATACTAGAACCAATCAGTTGTGACCATTTCATCTCAGAAATTATTCCTCTGCAGTTATTTGCTTGTTCTGATTGAATGTAACGTGTACCTCCAAACTTAAGCTCGTGCTTTCCTTTCTTGTTACCATGTCTTATTACCAGAAAGGAGGTCTGCTTTTGAAATTTCTTTAAACTTATGTGCTGATTGAACCCCTTTTAGCATGTTATTATTTCCTTCTTTCCTTTGCTTTTTTTTGTAGCGTTGTCCTCTCTCTCTCACCTTATGGTATGTCAGGGACTATTAATTGCTACTATGTATTAACTACTAATTGTTTTGGAATATAGACGGTGGGTACATGCAAAGGCAGAGCCTTGTACAACTGTTATCTGGAATTATACAATGGATAGAACCACCCAATGCTGTTTTGAAAGCTATAGAATGTGGAAGAAGTGAAAGGTCAAATTATTTCCATCACTTCCTCTTGTTCCATGGGATCTTCATTATATTGATTTATTATTTGTTATTTCTTCAGTGAACTCCTTGATGGTTGCCGTGCACTGATGTCTATGGCAGCTGTGAGTACACCACTTGTGTTTGATCAACTCTTGAAATCTTTGAGGTCTGTCTTATCATGTCTGGATTTATCACAAATTTCTCAATTTCCAGCTGAAAATTATTATGTTGTATTTGTGGCTTGTACTGAAGTCAAACTTTTGACTTGACACTCAGGCCTTACGGCACTCTTACACTATTATCTGTGCTGATGTCTGAAGTCATCAAATGCCTTATGGAAAACCTCTCAGAAGAAGAGACGTGGAGCTGGGTAGCACGCGATATTTTACTGGACACTTGGACTGCACTTCTTACGGTATATACTATTGTTACCTTAGTACATGCTCTTCTATAGCTACAGCATGCTTTGGACCTTGTTGGTATGCCATCTGTAAATTTGTCTGTGTATTTTGAATTGTTAGTTACTCAGTGTTTTAGGGTTCGTTTAATTTGTTGTTTTCAAGTTTTCGGTTTTGCATAACTTATAACATAAAATTCAAAATGTATTTTGACATTTTGAGAGTTTTCGCTGAAAACACTCAAAAACATGGGAAATGAATGTTGAGATAATTTTTTAAAATAAACTTCTAAAAAATAAAAATAAAAAAATGAAATTATAAATTTTTAAAAAAAATTTAAAATTGAAAAAAATAAAATTTAAAATTCTAAAAAATAAAAAATCTAAAAAAATAAAATTCTAAAGTTCTAAAAAAATGATAATTCTGAAAAATAAGATTCTAAAAAATTCTAGAAAAACTAAAATTGTAAAAAAAAAAAAAAA